TTATTGTACGGCGTATTGAGCACAGTCTGGGGTCAGTCCGGGGCTAGTCCGTTGTCAATCCAGGGTCAGTCCAGGGCCAGTCCAGGGTCCGTCCGGGGTCCGTCTGGGGTCCGTCTGGGGTCAGTCTGGAGCCCAGAGTGACCTGGACTGACCGTGCCGGCCGACCCTTGGATGACCCCGCTTACGTGGAACCCATCCGCAGCAAAGTCAGCGCAGCCGAGCCGACCGCCACACCACGAGGTACACGCGAATGTTGGGGCGCCCATGGGAAAAGTATGCTATGGGAAATGAGAGTGTGAGCGGGCCGATCTAGTTTTCGGAATTGCGGAAGTCGGGCACCTGAATTCCCGATCTAGTTTAGCCGAGGCCTAGTTTTACCGATCATATTTTTCACGAGCGGAGAGTAAAGTAGTTTTGGAGTCACTTTTTCGGCATAAGATTAAATCTAATGTTGTGTTGTGCGTTCCACTGCTGTGGGCTGTGTTTCTTAGAAGAGAAGACCAGAATACCTGCAATTGCGCCCGCGCTTGGTTCATAAATTTGCTACCATGCACATACCACTGGTCCCAGTTCCCACAGGTCGGGGTGGCATCACGTTTCCCCATCGCGCGCTTCCACCCCGTCCTAAATCCCAAAGGACCTGGTAGAACCACGATCGCCCATCACTGTTGTAGACTGACTTGGACCACGCTCACTAACGGCCTAGGGCCCAGCTATACGAAGGATCATGCTACCTTGGGCCCAGGTGGAACCCGGTTCCCCCACGGCGTAGCATCAGCACGCAAGGCTCCCGGGTCCCCGTCCACCCGTCCCCCTACGTGAAGAGTGGGCCAGCTTGGTAAAAGGACGAGGAGGGAGAGGGAGGCAGGCACCGCTGCGCAGGGAAGAGCATGGATGGGACGGTTGCGCCCATCGGAGTCCAATTTGGTGGCGTTCCGCGCGAGGGGGGCCGACGTGATGAGTGGACCCTTCCATCAGGGAGACCCGGACGGTTGGGCGGACACTGGCAGATACAGGCGCATGCACCGGCACCTTATGAATGAAGTTCCTTGCTCAGGAACTGGAGCGCGTGGGGGGTCAGCCGTTCCGATGGAGCAAGACATATACCCACATACGGGCGTGCTTCGCGGAGCCCCGGGTGGGCCTCCTTGTGGGGGGGAAGTCTTGCAGGGGCCATTGTGTGTGTGTGGGTGTGGGCGTGTGGATATGCGGTTGTATGGGTGTGTGGGTGTGTGGGTGGGTGGGTGTGTGGGTGTGTGGGTGTGTGGGTGTGTGTATGTGTATGTGTGTATGTGTGTATGTGTGTATGTGTGTATGTACGTATGTACGTATGTACGTATGTACGTATGTGTATGTGTGTATGTGTACGTGTACGTGTATGTGTATGTGTATTTGTATGTGTATTCTGTGTGTGTGCGTGTGTCTGTGGTGTGTGTGGTGTGTGTGTGTGGGGGGGGGGGGGTGCGTGTGCGTGTGCGTGTGCGTGTGCGTGTGCGTGTGCGTGTGCGTGTGTGCGTGTGTGGCGTGTGTGCGTGTGTACGTGTTATGTGTGCTTGTGTGTGTTTGTGTGTGTTGTGTGTGCGTGTGTGTGTGCGTTTGTGCGTGTGTGTGAGTGTGAGTGTGTGTGTGCGTGTGTGGCGTGTATGTGTATGGGTGTGTGAGTGTGTGGGTGTGCGTGTGGGTTTTTGTGTGTGTGGGTGTGTGTGCGTGTGTGTGTGTGTGTGGTGTGTGTGTGGGGCGGGGGGTGTGCGTGTGTGCGTGTGTGTGTGTGTGTGTGTGCGTGTGTGTGCGTGTATGTGCCTGTGTGTGCGTGTGTGTGCGTGTGTGTGCGTGCGTGTGCAGGTGCGTGTGTGTGTGTGTATGTGTGGGTGCGTGTGGGTGCGTGTGGGTGCGTGTGGGTGTGTGTGAGTGCGTGTGTGTGGGTGTGTGTGTGCGAGTGTGTGCGTGTGCGTGTGTGCGTGTGTGATGTGTGCGTGTGTGTGTTTGTGCGTGTGTGCGTGTGTCCGTGTGTGCGCGTGTGGGTGTGTGTGTGTGCTTGTGTGCGCGTGTGTGTGTGCGTGTGTGCGTTTGTGCGTGTGTGTGTGTATGTGTGCGTGTGTGCTTGTGTGTATGTGTGGTGTGAATGTGTGGTGTGTGTGATGTGTATGGTGTGCATGTGCGTGCGTGCGTGTGTGTGTGTGTGAGCGAGTGAGTGTGTATGTGTGTGCGTGTGAGTATGCGTGTGTGTGCGTGTGTGTGTGTGGGGCGTGTGTGCGTGTGTGCGTATGTGCGTGCGTGCGTGCGTGAGTGCGTGTGTGTGTGTGCGTGTGTTGTGTGTGTTGTGTGTTGTGTGTTGTGTGCGTTGTGTGCGTTGTGTGTGCGTGTGTGTGTATTGTCGTGTGTGTATTGTATTGCGTGGTGCGGGTTGTGTGTTGTGTAGTGTGTGTGTGTGTGTGCGTGTGTGCGTGTGTCCTTGTGTGTGTGTGTTTTGTGTGTGGTTGTGTGTGTTTGTGTGTGGTGTTGTCTGTGCGGTTGTGTGTGTGTTTTTGTGAGTCTGGGTTTTTGTGTGTGGTGTTGTCGTGTATGCTTTGTTATGTGTGTGCGTCTGTGTGTTTGTGTTTCTTTGTGTGTGTGCGTGTGTGCGTGCTTGCGTGCGGGCGTGCGTGTGTGTGTGAGTGTGTGTGCGTGTGTGTGTGTGTGTGCGTGGGTGTATGGGTGTGTCGGTGTGTGGGTGTGTGGGTGTGTGGGTGTGTGGGTGTGCATGTGTATGTGTATGTGTACATTTGCATGTGTACGCTTACGTGTATGTGCTTGTGTATGTGTATGTGTATGTGTATGCAGATGTGTATGTGTTATGCGTATGTGCATGTGTATGTCTATACGTACGTGTATGTGTATGTGTATGGTATGCGTATGTGTATGTGTATGTGTACGTGGATGCGGATGTGGATGTGTCTGTGTATTTTCTGTGTGTGCGTGTGTGTGTGTGTGCGTGTGTGTGTGGTGTGCGTGTGGTGTGTGTGTGTGCGTGTGCGTGAGCGTGTGCGTGCGCGTGTGCGTATGCGTGTGCGCGTGCGTGTGTGCGTGTGCGTGTGCGTGTGCGTGTGCGTGCGCGTATGCGCGTGCGTGTGCGTGTGCGTATGTGTGCGTGTGCGTGTGTGTGTGGTGTGTGTGTGTGCGTGTGTGTTTGTGTGTGTTTGTCTGTGTGCGTGTGTGTGTGCGTGTGTGCGTGTGTACGTGCGTGTGCGTGTGCGTGCGTGCGTGTGGGTGTGTGGGTGTGTGGGTGTGTGCGTGTGCGTGTGTGTGCGTGTGTTGTCGGTGCGTCTGTGTGCGCGTGTGCGTGTGTGCGTGTGTTTCTGCGTGTGTGTGTGTGTGTGTGTGCGTTTGTGCGCGTGCGTGCGTGCGTTTGCGTGTGTGTGCGTGTGTGTGCTGTGTGTGTGCGGGTATGTGTGTTTGTGTGTGGGTGCGTGTGTGTGTGCGTTTGGGTGCGTGTGGATGTGTGTGTGCGTGTGTGTGTTCGTGTGCTTGTGCGTGTGTGTGCGTGTGCGTGTGTGTTCGTGTGTGTTCGTGTGTGTGCGTGTGCGCGTGTGTCCGCGTGTGCGTGTGTGGTGTGTGAGTGTGCGTGTGTGCGTGTGTTCTTGTGTGTGTTGTGTGTGTGGTGTGAATGTGTGGTGTGTGTGGTGCGTGTGTGCGTGATCGCGTGCGTGCGTGTGTGTGAGCGAGTGAGTGAGTGTGTGTGTGTGTGCGTGTGTGTGTGCGTGTGGGTGTGCGCGTGTGTGTGGGCGTGTGTGCGTGCGTGCGTGAGCGCGTGCGTGTGATCGTGCGTGTGTGTTTGTGTTGTGTGTTGTGTGGTGAGTGTGTGTTGTTGTGTGTGTGTTGTGTGTTGTGTAGGTTGTGGGTTGTGTGTGCGTGTCTGTGTGGTGTGTGTTGTGTGTTGTGTGTTGCGTGTGTGTCGTTTGTGTTATGTGTGTTGTGCGTGTGGTGTGTAGTGTGTGTTGTGTGGGTTGTGTGTATTGTGTGTTGTGTGTTGTGTGTTGTATGTGTGCGCGGGTGGTGTGTGTATTGTGTGTTGTGTGTGTCTGTGTGTTTTGTGTGTGTTTTATGTGTTCTTGAGTGATTGTGTGCTTGTGTGTAGTTGCGTGTGTTGTTGTGTGTATGTGGTTTTGTGTGTGTGTTTGTTGTGTGTGTGTTTTTTGTGTGTGTGTTGTGTGTGTTTGTGTGTGTTTTGTGTGTGTTTTTTGTGTGTGTGTGCGTGCGCGCGTGCGTGCGTGTCTGTGTCAGTGTCTGTGTCAGTGTCTGTGTCAGTGTCTGTGTCTGTGTCTGTGTCTGTGTCCGTGTCCGTGTCTGTGTCAGTGTCTGTGTCTGTGTCTGTGTCTGTGTCTGTGTGTGTGCGTGTGCGTGTGTGTGTGTGTGCGTGTGTGTGCGTGCGTGTCGGGGGTTCTGCGACGGGTCAGCTCCGAAGCCGCCTACAAGAAAGAGCGTGTCGGGGGCGAGGAGTGTGGATGCGGCGGAGGCCCATATACGGGCGCATTCACTGGGACGTGGGGTCCGTCAGAGGGGGTCTAAATGCGTGAGAAGTGGGCCGCTCGGGGGGTGGGTGCTTGTACGTATGCGAGTGCACCCCCTGGAGCCTCACGCAAGGCTCTTTGGGGAAGTGCGTTATGTGAGGGCTCGGAGTGGCAAGGAGTATGCAGCAGCAGGGAGAGGAGGAGATAACCTGAGAAGGAGGAGGAGGAGGCAGAAAAGGGGGGAGGTGCAGAAGGAACGAAGGAGAACAAAGCACACCCCAATGGTTAGGCAAACCGAGGACCCAACTCCGCAAGAAACTCCGGAAAACGAGCCCCGCGCAGAGCCGCCTCGCCGCCGCTGCGCGACAGGCACGCGCAGGCCTCGCCGACCGCCGTCACAGCGCGGCCGCGGACTACATGCAGGGCAGGTGCACGTTCGGGGACGCCTGCCAGTTCTCCCACGACCCCGAGCTCATTGCCGCCGCCATGGGTGGGGCCGTGGACCAGTCCTTCCAGGGAGCCGCGTTCGACCCCGAGGCCGCGCCGGTGGAGCCCGGGCCCGTGGCCCAGTCCTTCCAGGGCTGCGGCGGCGAGACCAGCGGCTGGCCACCCCCAGTGCCAGAGCCGGCCGTCGCGGGCGGGCAGGAGCCGAGTAGCGGAGGGAGCGGCGAGCACGATCCCCCAGGCATCGGAGGAGGAGCCCGGGGGGGGGGGGCTCTGCATAGTTGTGAGTTTGCAACGACCCTGGCCAGGCCGATCCTGTGCCTAGGATCGGTGTGCGCGTGCGTGTGCGTGCACGCGTGCGCGTGCGTGTGAGCGTGCGCGTCCGTGTGCGTGTGCGTGTTCTGTGCGTTTGCGTGCGCGTGCGCGTGCGCGTGGGTGTGCGCTTGCGTGTGCGTGTGCGCTTGCGTGTGCGTGTGCGTGTGCGTGTGTGTGTATGCGTGTGTGTGTGTTGTCTGTGTGTCCGTGTGGGTGCGTGTGTGTGTGCGTGTGTGCGTGCGTCTGAGTGGTGTGTGTGTGTGCGTGTGTGCGTGTGTGTGTGTGAGTGTGTGTGTGTGTGCGTGTGTGTGTGCATGTGTGCGTGTGTGCGGGTGTGCGTGCGTGCGTGCGGGTGTGCGTGTGTGCGTGTGTGCGTGTGTGCGCGTGTGCGCGTGTGCGCGTGTGCGCGTGTGCGCGTGTGCGCGTGTACTCGTGTGCGCGTGTGCGTGTGTGCGTGCGTGCGTGTGTGCGTGTGTGCGTATGTGAGTGTGTTTTGTGTGTATGCCTGTGCGTGTGTGCGTGTGTGCGTGTGTACGTGTTTGCGCTCGTGTGTGTGTGGGTGTGTGTGTATGTGCGTGAGTGCGTGTGTGCGTGTGCGCGTGTGCAGTGCGTGCGTGCGTGCGTGCGTGCGTGCGTGCGTGTGTGTTTGTCTGTGTGTTCGTGTGGGTGCGTGTGTGTGTGTGCGTGTGTGCGTGCGTCTGAGTGGTGTGTGTGTGCATGTGTGCGTGTGTGCGTGTGTGCGTGCGTGCGTGTGTGCGTGTGTGTGTGTGTGCGTGTGTGCTCGTGTGCTCGTGTGCGTGCGTGCGTGTGTGCGTGTGTGCGTGAGTGCGTGTTTGCGCTCGTGTGTGTGTGGGTGTGTGTATGTGCGTGAGTGCGTGTGTGCGTGTGCGCGTGTGCAGTGCGTGCGTGCGTGCGTGCGTGCGTGCGTGCGTGCGTGCGTGCGTGCGTGCGTGTGTTCGCGTGTTCGCGTGTGCGTGTGTGTTTGCGTGTGTGTGCGTGTATGCGTGCGTGCGTGTGTGCGTGTGTGCGTGCGTGCGTGTGTGCGTGTGTGCGTGTGTGCGAGTGTGCGTGTGTGTTTGTGTGTGTGCGTGTGTGCGCGTGTGTGTGTGTGCATGTGTGTGCTCGTGTGTGTGTGTGCGTGTGTGTGCGCGCGTGTGTGTCTGTGTGGGTTTGTGTGTATGTTCGCGTGTGTGCTTGTGTGTTTGTGTGTATGGTTGTGTGTTTGTTTGTGCCTGTGTGTGCTTGTGTGTGGTTGTGTGTGTTGTGTGTGTGTTTGTGTGTGGTGGTGTGTGTGTCTGTGTGTGTGTTCGTGTGTGTGCGTGTGTGCTTGTGTGTTGCCGTGTGTTTGTGTGTTTGTGTGTTTGTGTGTGTTTGTGTGTTGGCGTGTGTGCTTGTGTGTTTGTTGGTGTGTGTGTGTTTGTGTGTGTTTGTGTGTTGTTGTGTTTGTGTGTGTGTTTGTGTGTGTTGGTGTGTGTTGGTGTGTGTTGGTGTGTGTTTGTGTGTGTTTGTGTGTGCTTGTGTGCTTGTGTGGTTGTGTGTTTGTGTGTACGTGTCGGCCCCTGCTCAGTTCGGGACCGCCGTTGGCCCTCTGGCCACGCCCCCGCCCCGCCATGGCGCCTGGGCTGACTCTGCCGCCTGCGCCCCGCCCCGCCCGCCTCTTTGCCTTGTCTGGTTTTCAGGCCGACCCCTCACCTTGAGGCGGTCGCCTACTGGTCGCCGCCGGCCCAGGTGCTCACGTGAGGCTCACGCGACCTCGGCACCCGCTGGCCTTTGGCGCTGCGCGCACACCTTGCCTCCAGCTTTTGCTGGGCACGCCCCCTCAGCTCAGCCTGCTGCCTGGCAGCCCACCATGCTCCCCGCTGCTGCTGGCCCCCGCCCCCCGCGCCGCCCTGCCGCGCGGCTGGCCCTGCTCTGAGCGGGCCCCGCCTCCGTCTCCCTCCCGCCACCGCCGGGCGTCCTCCTCCCCCCTCGTGCATCGCGGCCTAATTCGCATTCTCTTTTCTACGACGCCCTATCCGCCAGTGCGATCCTTCTGCCTAGCCGCCGACGCCAAAAAATGTGTTTGCGTGTTTGTGCCTTTGTGTCTTTGTGTCTTTGTGTCGGTGTGCCTTTGTGTGTTGGTGTGTTTGTGTGTTTGTGGGTAGGTGCATTGGTGTGTTGGTTTGTTGGTGTGTGTGGTGTGTTGGTGTGTGTTGGTTTGTTGGTGTGTGTTTGTGTGTTGCTGTGTGATTGTGTGTTGGTGTGTGTTTGGATGTTGGTGTGTGTTGGTGAGTTGGTGTGTGTGTTTGTGTGATGTTGTGTGTGTTTTGTGCTGGTGCGTGCTTGTGTGTTGGTGCGTATTGCATGTTGGTGTGTGTGTGTGTTGTGTGTTGGCGTGTGTGTGTGTGTTGTGTGTTGGTGCGTGCTGTGCGTTGGCCTGTGTTGCGTTTGTGTGTACTGTGTGTTGGTGTGACTTGTGCGTTGGCGTGCGTTGTATGTTGGTGTGTGTTGTGTGTTGGTGTGTGTTGTGTGTTGGTCTGTGCTGTGTGTTGGTGTGTGTGTGTTGCTTGTTGGTATGTGCTGTGTGTTGGTGCGTGTTGTGTTGGTCTGTGTTGTGTGTTGTGTGTTGTGTTGTGTGATGTGTGTTCTGTGTGTATGTTGTGTGTTGTGCGCGCGTGCGTGCGTGCGTGCGTGAGTGTATGTGCGTGTGTGTGTGTGTGCGTGCGTGCGTGCGCGAGTGCGTGCGTGTGTGTGTGTGTGCGTGTGTGCGCGTGCGTGTGCTTGTGCGTGTGTGCGTGTGTGCCTGTGTCCGTGTGTGCGCGTGTGCGTGCGTGCGTGCGTGCGTGTGTGCGTGCGTAGGTGCGTGCGTGTGTGTGTGTGTGTGCGCGTGCGGTGTGTGTGTGTGTATGTGCGCGTGTGTGTGTGTATGTGTGTGCGTGCGAGCGTGCGCCTGCGTGCGTGTATGCGTGCGTGCGTGCGTGCGTGTGTGCGTGCGTGCGTGTGTGCGTGTGTGCGTGTGTGCGTGTGTGCTTGTGTGTGTATGTGTGTGTGTGTTGTGTGTATTCGGTTGTGTGTGTCGTGTGTTGTGTGATGTGTGGGGTGTGTGTGGGGGGGGGGGGGTCGGGGGGGGGAGTATGGGTGAGTGGGTGGGTGGGTGTGTGGGTGGGTGGGTGGGTGCGTGTGTGCGTGTGTGCGTGTGTGCGTGTGTGCCCGTCGCTGGGCACCGGCTCCCCCTGCACGGCCTGCTGCCTGGCAGCTTGCCATGCTGGCTCCCCCCCCCCCCAGCCGCCGCCCCGCTGCTGCTGGCCCCCGCCCCCCGCGCCACCCCGCCGCCGCCTGGCCCCGCTCTGAGCGGGCCCGGCCTCCGTCCCCCTCCTGCCACCGCCGGGCGCCTCCTCCTCCTCTCCCCCTCGCGCATCGCGGCTCAGTTCGCGTTCGTATGCCCTACCAATGCCTTGCCGCCAGCGCAGTCACTCTGCCTAGCCGCCGACGCAGAAAGTGCGTGTGTGTGCGTGTGTGGTGTGCGCGTGTCTGTGTGTCCGTGTGGGTGTGTGTGTGTGTGTGCGTGCGTATGTGGTGTGTGTGTGTGTTTGTGTGTGTGCGTGTGTGCGTGTGTGCGTGTGTGCGTGTCAGGGCGTGTCGGGGCGTGTCGGGGCGTGTTGGGGCGTGTGTGGGCGTGTTTGGGCGTGTGTGGGCGTGTGTGGGTGCGTGTGGGCGCGTGTGGGCGTGTGTGGGCGTGTGTAGACGTGTGTGTGGGCGTGCGGAGCGTGTCGGGGCGTGTTGGGGCGTGTGCGGGCGTGCGTGGGCGTGCGTGGGCGTGTGTGGGCGTGTGTGGACGTGTGCGGGCGCGTGTGGGCGTGCGTGGGCGTGTGTGAACATGTGTGGGCGTGTGTGGGCGTGTGTGGGCGTGTGTGGGCGTGTGTGGGCGTGTGTGGGCGTGTGTGGGCGTGTGTGGGCGTGTGTGGGCGCGTGTGTGTGTGTTTGTGTCTGTGTCTGTTTCTGTGTCTGTGTCTCTATCTGTGTGTGCGTGTGCGTGCGCGTGTGCGTGTGCGTGTGCGTGTGCGTGTTATTGTGTGTGTGCGTTTGTGCGTATGCCTTCTCTGCACTGGCCACGAGGGCGTCTGCACTGGTCCTGGGCTCAGGAATGGCCTGGCCAGGATCGGTGTTGATGTATAACTGGCGTCCTCCTAAGGAGGAGCAGCAGCAGCAGATATCCTGCCGCCAGCGGCCCTGCCCGAGCCGTCGCAGCCGCCACCGGCCCCGCCCAAGGCGACGCCGCTCGCCGCGGAAGCGTCGGCGCCGCCTTCGTCGTCGAGCTCGTCGAAGCCGAAGGCCGCGGCAGGCTTCAAGGAGCAGTTGTGCAAGTTCTGGGAGGAAGGTGGATGCAGAAACGATCACCGTTGGAGTCGCGGGGGGGGACACGCTCAGGGGGGGAGGAGACGCATCGTGCCCCAATCGCCCAGTGATCGCTGATGGGGGCCCGATGGCCTACATCGCCCAAGAGCGTACGGATCCAGACCTCCCAACTGGGGTCCGAGTGGATGGGGTCGGAGGATCGCGCCGCATCGCCGATGCATCGCCAATGCGGCTTGATGTGGAGCCCGATATCGTTCCACGCCGACGGTGCCGGTGCATCACCGATGCGGCGCGATCCTCCGACCCCATCAAGGAGGCCTCTAAAAGGAGCAGCGGCGCAAGTGCTGGGAGGAAGATGAGGAAGTGGTCTTCGGGAGGTGGAGCCAGGGGCAAGGCCAGGGGGGGAGCACGCATCGACCCCCAATCGCCCATGGATCGTCGATAGGGGGCCCGACGGCCCACACCGCACAGGAGCGTGCTCATTTGCTATCGGGTGGGTGTCGCTGATACATCGGCTGTGCAGCGCCGATTGCAAGTCGATGTTTCCCCCTTTGAGCCGGTCCCCCCTAACGTTCCCCATCAAGGAAGAGGAGGAGGAGGAGGAGGAGGAGGAGGAGGAAGAGGAAAAGGAGGAGGAGGAGGAGGAGAACAAGGAGGAGGAGTTGGTATCTTCCCCAAGAGGTGGATGCACTTTCGGTGCGGCGTGTTTCTTCGCCCATGGACCTGACGAGCTGGTTGGCGGAGACAGCGGGGAGGGGAAAGGTCCAGGCAACGCGGACAAGCAGAGAGATCAGGGCAGCAAAGACGGCAGCGCAGACAACACGGAGTTGGGCAGCGTGACCGTTGGCGCGGATCTGGTGGGCAGCATGAATGGCGGCACGGGCCAGAAGACTGAAATGAGCGTCATGGACCAGATAGCACAGATGATGGGCGGTATGGAACAGATAGCCCAGATAGGCTGCATGGATACGATGACCCAGATGGCGCAGATGGTGGAGATGGGGGCCTGGAGCATGGAGCAGCTGATGGAGGCAATGGCACCCATGGTCAGCATGGTGAGTGGCATGCACGCTGAACCAGATCAGGCGAGCTATCCCCCTGCAGATCTCCAGTGCGGAAAGGGCGCCGCGTGGGGCAAGGCATGCAAGGGTGACAAAGGTGGTAAAGGCGACAAGGGCTGGAAAGGCGACAAGGGCTGGAAAGGCGACAAGGGCTGGAAAGGCGACAAGGGCTGGAAAGGCGACAAAGGCGGGAAAGGCGACAAGGGCTGGAAAGGCGACAAGAGCTGGAAAGGCGACAAGGGCGGGAAGGGCGACAAGGGCGGGAAAGGTGACAAGGACTGGAAAGGTGACAAGGGCGGCAAGGGGAAGAAGGGCGGCAAAGGCAAGCCCGCCGCGTCTGCAGAGGCGGAGTCGGACTTCGCCGCCAAGCTCGCCGCGTTCAGGAATCCTCCTACTGCTTCCTCTCCCTCACCTCCCACTCCTCCTACGTTCTTCACCACTCTTCCTATATAGCCGTTATCGTCGAATTTCTCCGTGTTTCGCTCTGACGCTTGGTCGAATATCAGATGATTCCGCTCTCTCCTGCTTGCTTCTCCGCTGAGAAAATGCTCGTCACACGTAGCCGCTAAGGTTCAAGACTCGTGTTTGGGAGGGCTTGGCCCTGTAGCAGTCAAACGACCCCGCTGGTCAACGACAGCTCTCGCTTTTCGAGCAGCACCAGCTGCCACAGTGCACCGAGTTCTCACATCCAGCTCACTGCGAAGGACAATCTGAGATATCAGGGGCACGTGATGCCTGCCACGGCAGCCGGACGTGCCCCTGGTCGCGGGAAGGCCGAGGAGCGAAGCTCGGACAAGCACCTGCGCAGCCCAGGGCTCCCAGCGGAGCCTTGGCGCCGTGAAACCCAGACATGCGTCGATCTGATTTTCTTTCTCACCCCCCGGCCCTTGACCGGGGCCAGCTTCTCGCCCCCGATCCAATTTTGAAGGGCCCCGGGGCCTGAAGACGGGCCTTGGAGGCCGAAGCCTAGGAAGCAAGACGCGGATTGAAAAAACCCTACCGTCCGAGATCTGGGACAGCTTGGGAGAAACGGCCCAGGGCGCCCTCGGCGAGGCGCAGCTGCTGGAGCACATTCCGAGGCAGGAAAGCCGCCAGAAGCGACGAAAACGTTCGAAGACTTCGATCGGCCACACGTAAGAGTGACCTTTCGCTGGACTGACCTCTGGTGCGGGGGCACTGGGGCCCCCAGAAGGCTGGACGTGATGCGATAGAAGCGGCCTGGGCGCTCGGGCTCGCCCTCCCCGCGGTCCCCGAACGTCGCGCACCGAAGGTCACTCTTGCCTGGGGCCACCCGTGCGCGCAGCGGATCGAACTCCGCTCTTCGAAGGACGAGGAGGAGGAGGAGGAGGAGGAGGAGGAGGAGGAGAAGGACGAGGAGGAGGAGGAGGAGGAGGAGGAGGACTAGGAGGAGGAGGAGAAGGACGAGGAGGAGGAGGAGGAGGAGGAGGAGGAGGAGGAGGAGGGCGCCCTCCCCCGAAAGTCCCGGTGCCTTCACGGCGGCGAGGTGCGCGCCCAGGGCCGAGGGCGAAGCCCAGCGCCAGCCCTGCGGGCGCGGGCGGAGGGGCGCTCCTGCCATCCACGGCGGACGCGGCCGTCGCAGCCTCCCACTGCGAGAGGCGGCCGTGGTGCTCGAGGCGCACCTGTCCGACCAGCCACTACCCCTCCCTCCTCATCATCATCATCCATCCTCCCTCGCCCCCTCCCGCTAATCAATTATTTTCCTCATAAATTCCTTGTCGCACCCCGAGGCCAAGTTTAGGGCGGTCCAACCGTTTCGCCTGAGGCTTCGACAATTTATTGCTCTGAAGCTTGGAAAGTGGCAACAGCTTTACAGATGGAGGGCGGGTGGTTTTCAAAATGTGGCTCTCGCCTTAGCGCCGCGCACATTCGTTTTGAAAAATTGCAAGAGCTTCACGGATTGAGGGCGGTTTCTTTTCGAAATGTGGTTCTCGCATTAGCGCCGCGCACATTAACTTTCACAAGGTGTAAGAGTTTCACAAATTGAGGGCGGTTCCTTTTCAAAATGTGGTTCTCGCCTTAGCCCCGCGCACATTCGTCCTGGAATTTCGCAAAAGCTTCACGGAATGAGGGCGGCTCTTTTTCAAAATGTGGTTGTCGCCTTAGCGCCGCGCACATTCGTTTCGAAAAATTGCAAAAGTTTCACGGATACCCTTAATCAACTTACCAGAATTGGCGTGTTGGAGGGATTCTGGATTATGCGGGCGCAACACGTTGATTTGCGGTTAAAGTCACAAGGATGGCGTTCTGGCACGATCCTCAAGACGCAACAGTCAGGTTGGTCCGTGGCGTTGGAATCCCGAGAAGATTGTTTTTGAATGCTTCACGGTCTTCAGACGGTTGTCTTCCAACGAGGCAGTTCCCTCAATGGAAATGAACCGCTGTAGGGGGCTTCTGAAGAGAGAGCTACGAGGGAGGGGTTATTCCAACATCGTTGGGTTTATACTGGCTTATCCTCCTCCTCCATTTCCTCCTCCCCCTCCTCCTCCTCTTCCTCCTCCGCCTCCTCCTCATCATCATCATCATAATCCTCCTCTTCCTCCTCCACCTCCTCCTCTTCCTCCTCCTCCCCTCCTCCGCGTCCGCGGTATATGTTTAAAGACCTGGTCAGAATGGTCACTCGATAGGCTCTGTAAGTTTGCTGTTCGTCGGCCTCCGAGAGGCTGTCGGGTTTTCCCTGGGTCAGGTCTTATTCGGATCCGAGGTCTGAAGCTGTGGTCGAGCGAGTTTCACTCGGGGTTTTTGCTGTGGGGCCATCTTCTCCGACGTCTTTCGACGCGCACGGTAGGTCGCAATTGTTCGAGTAGCTCTATGACGATTGGTTTAAGCCGAATATTATCGACCTTCGGCCCGACACCGTTCCGCCGCCGCGTCTCCTGCTCCTCCTCCTCCTCCGCCTCCTCCTCCTCTCCTCCTCCTCCTCCTCCTCCTCCTCCTCCTTCTCCTCCTCCGCTTCCTCCTCCTCCTCCTCCTCCTCCTCCTCCTCCTTCTCCTCCTCGTCCTCCTCCTCCTCCTCCTCCTCCTCCTCCTCCTCCTCCCTCCTCCTCCTCCTCCTCCTCCTCCTCCTCCTCCTCCTCCTCCTCCTCCTCCTCCCACCCGAACGGTACATGTAGATACCTTGCCAAGCAATGTAAATGTTTGCCCCTCTTTTCCGCTTTAAGTTTGCGTCCCTTGAATGCCCATCGCCGCCGTTTGGGGCTTAAGGCTAGCCCCCCGTGCCCGTGCTATACGCGTTCTACCGCTTGACTAATCACTTCCGCGGGGCCCAGCGACGGTGGCCGGCTGCTGACGTGGGGGAGGGCGTCCGCGCGCGCGGGGGGCGCCAGCCCGCTTGTCTGGCAACCCTTGCCTCGGCGCAGTGCGCGCCGCCCGTCGGCGCCCTGTGCCCCGGGGCGGCCGCCGAACCCTTCGAGGGCCGAAGTTGCCGGACGCGGCCCCCGGCAACCACCTGCGCCAGAAGGTCGCTGTACGTTGTCGTCGTCGTCGCCGTCGCTTTGGGGCCGCCACGTGGGGGCCCGGCCTCGTTTGGAGTCGCCGCGGGGGGGCGCTCCAGGGCGCACACGCACAGGAGGTTGCCGGTCCGCCCGTCCAGCAACTGATCCTTTGGAGGGTTAAAACCCGATGCCGAGGGGACCCCCGGGGGATCGGGCTGCGTCGGCGGCGGGGGGATGGGACACCGCGGACCGAGTGGAACGCGGTTGTTGGACACGGCCCCCAGCAACCGCTGACGCAGGTGCGGGGGGGGGCCGGCCGCTCGTCGTCGCCGTCGTCGCCGTCCATGGCGCGGCTGTCCTCGCCCGAGGGAGGGCAGTGGCGGCGAGGCGCCAGAGCACGCTTCCGCAGCCCGCGCTCGCGGGCGGCCGCCGAGAAGGAGGGGAGCGCGCGCGCGCAGTAGGATGCCAGCCGCTTGTCTGGCAACCTTGGCCCGGGAGCGTTTGGCTGGGTCTCGCGGGCCTTTGAAGGTCGCGCGGCCCGGCGTCGCCGCGGGCCCCCCGCGGGCCGTCGAACGCAATCGCGGGCAGAGGTTGCTGCCTGAGGCAGCCCCGGCAACCACTTGTGCCAAAAGGCCATCCTTCCTCCCTCTCCCCCCCTCTTCCCCTCTCTCCCTCTTTTCCCCTCCTCCCTGCTCTCCCTCCCTCTCCCCCCCCCCCTTCCCCCCCCCCCCTCCCCCCACCCCCACCCCCCCCCGACGCCGTCCCGCCCGAGCCCTGCTGCGCGGCGCCCAGGCCGGCCAGGGCCCTGCCCGGGGGGTCAGCGGGGGCGGTTGCTCCCCCTGCCCCCCGCCCCCTTCCACCCGCCCCCTTCCCCTTCCACCCCGCCCCTCGCCCCCCCTCGCGCTGCCCCTCCCCCGCGCTGCCGTCGGCCAGCGGCCGCTTCGGAAATGCTGGGCGCGCCCGCCCAGAGCGAGGTCGACTGGCGCGCCGATGCGATCCTCGCGCGCAGCATTTGCAGGAGGCCTCGCAAAGGAAAGAGTTGGACACCTGCACAGCTGCCTGCCAGGGCTCTCAGTAGAGGGGCGCCGAGAGCGGTTCAGGACCAGGCACTTCATCCCCATCGAGCCAGGGCGCTCTCCAGCGACGCGCAGTCGCCGCCGACGCGCCCACCCCCAGGCTGGGCGTTGCCAGCGGCCGCCCCAGCGGAGGGCCAGGGCGCGGAGGCCGCGGGCGCGCGGGAGGCGGTGCCCGCCGCTGCCGGCGGAAGCAAGATGGGCGCGCCAGCGGCGACCCCCGCCGAAGCGGCCGACGAGGGGGCCGACGAGGGTGCAGCGGAGAAGCTTGTCGCGGCCATCCGCGCCGATATCGGGCAGATCGAGATCGCGGGCTACACGCCGCCGCAGGCCGTGGACAAGTTCCTGACCACGCTGATCGGGGCACCAACGGCGCCGCCCCACCAGGCCGCCACCCCCCCGCCCGCGGCGACGGGGCCCGCGCCCGCGGCGATCCTGGCGGCGTCCGCGGAGGAGATGCGCGCCGTGGCCTATGACGTGGTCGCGAGGCTCTCTGGCGCGGCGGAGGGCGTCGAGCCGGCCATCGCAGGGCTGGCGGTGTCGGTGGCGGAGAAGCCGCGGGACTTCACGGGCCCGCCGGGCCGCCCGTGCCGGCGCAGACCCAGAGGAGGGCGGTCGCCCTTGGCGTCGCCAGGCGGCGTCCGCTTGGAGCGCGGAGAAGGGCGGGGACTGACGCATCTTGGTCCTCCGCCTCCGGATCCCAGGTCGCCCCTCGGGCCTCCGCCAAGCGGTCGCCGACCACGCAGCCGGTCGCGGCGAAGGCCATCAAGATCAACATCTTCGAATATACGCGGCCAGGTGGGTCGCGGCGCTCGCGCCCTTGTAGGCCAGGCGGCGGCGCCAGCGCCGAGC